GGGCAATTTTTTTAACCTACGTTGGTGTGTGGCAAGCCGCATCAGTACCCGTACACAAAATCTCAATTGAGTGAGTGATTGAGTGCGTGAGTAATCTTTTGTGTTTTGATCCATATAGTTTCATAAAATTGTTTCGTCCAAGCTGGGGTGCTTATATTCAGCAGTATGCCTGAGGTAGTACAGATGCAGAAACCACAAGCGATCCAACATTTCCGGTGCTTTATCCTTTCTACACGATGACTGTGGAAACTCTGATGCAACTCGGATGTATCATGCTCGGACTTCGCCTTGGCGAGTGGCAGAGCCGTGCCCGTCGCAAACTCGTCGAAGCAGACCTGGAAGTCCAAAAACCAGGACCAAGAAACAAATCCCAAGCAAACCAAGAAGCAATCAACTTGGAAGCCCCTTTTGAAGCCCCTTTAGACTCCTCTACATAGATAGATCCTGCACCAGCGCCGTCCGTTTGGTGTTTTTTCAAGACAGTCCGACTCGTCCGACTGAGGGAGATGCAAGCGCCACGCGGTCATGAAGACTTGCTGATGGTGGCTTGGGTGCAGTATCCAAAAAGAAAAGGAAGCTTGGTCCCAGGGTTTGGCCCAATCCTTCAATACAGGGGGCGGGGACGTCATGTTGGACGCCCTGTCGATGGGGCGTCATGTTCATTGGGGACTCTTCAACCCGTCATCCGGTGTTCACACTTGTTGGTCGTGGCTCCAGCGGACTCCGCATTGGGCAGGAACAATGTTCCCTACTAGGGGCTCCTGGCATCGCTACTAGGAGCAAGGACGCTACTAGGGGCTCCTGGCCGTACTACTAGGAGCAAGAAGCTACTAGGAGCTTGGCCTTCCCGGCCCAGGATGGAAGCCTCGTGATTTACGAGAAGAGTCTGGGACACGCGATGTTCGTATCCCACGAGTGGTGCGGTAGAAGACACCCAGATCCTTGGACACATTTGGACACACTATTACAAGCGCTTTCCAGACATGCAGAAAGTTCGACAGCAGGCTCATGGCAAGGAATGAAAGGCACAACACCTTGACAAATTTATTGCCCATCAAACTGTGATGCACACTACCCTAATGCACGTGTTTTGTCAGTGATATGTCTTATTTATATAATACATATATATATACATATTATATTATATATTGGGAATTGTTATTACATTCAACACTCGAAGGTTTACTTGCACAAGACCCGAACACAAGAACACTTGTCGCGAAATGGTTTTGTAGCAATCTCGAGCGTGTCAACGATCGGAGGATCCGGAAGGTGCTCAACTTCGTGTTTTGCAAGAGGCGCTTGCTCACATGCTGCATGGATCAGATCCTTTGCTTTGAATGGCTGGATGCAGAACGCCGGAATATGTCTGAATCGGTAAGTGGGCACCTGGTTTTGCAACTGTACACTCGCCAGACCCATACAGCTTGGTGTCAGTTTTCCACTTCCCCTTTCTTTAGAAGGGCTCATTAGCTACAGGCCCTTTCCGCGTGGCTTGATGCCGCTTGTTGACTGAATGGAGTGGATCTGAGGAGAAGATTCCAGCTGATATCACTTGCGAGCTTTTGTTCGGCAATCAAGCTGGTATGGTGACAAGTCGCTCCATGTTTGCTCCAAAACGTTTTTTGTTGTACACTGCGATTTCCCCAGCAAAATTTGAATTCCAGGCGACCCGGAATTAGTTTTGTTGTAGCTGAGGTGAGCTGAAGGCCAGCCCACTCTACGCGACTTGGTCCAACTTTGGGAGGTCGTTGGCAGCGAACCCTGGGAGAGCGCATCGTTCGCTTGCAGGGTGGGAGCTGGTCGCAGCTTCGCCCAAAGCAAAGCCAGCCCAAGGACAAGCAGATAAGCATAACATGGCTGAGTTTGGTCCCCCTTCACTACACCAAGGGTTAGTCTGTAATGGTCCTGTGTAGTGTAGTCTTATAGTGGTTGGTGCACTCTGACTCTGGACACGGTCGCCAAAAGTCAGGCCCGCAATCAGTAAGGGCTTTGCACCGAAGAGGGTAGACCGGGAGTGGAAGTGATGTGGAGGTTCAGCGTGCGATCCCAAGGTCTGGTTTGACTACTTTTGCGTTCCGCAATTGGTGATGTCACTGGAAGGGCTTTGCAACTACGACCAGCAAAACGCCATTGAGAGCATCTTGGCTGAGCGTTAGATGGGGCGTTGAGGGTTCAGGCGTGTGGATGTACTGTATGCTGTTTGCACATATTTATGCTATGCTGGATGTGATGTATGTGACTCTGTAGCACTATTGGGAATGACTCTAAGCGGCAACCCTGCGGACAACAATGTGACTCTGGAGCTCAACCACTGCATGTGAGTCGTGCAATATTCGCAGTCAGTATCCAGAGATTTGCAGCACCCCGTGTCTTTTTCATGTTTTTGGTTGGGCCCTATTTGTTTTGGGATTGTTTGGGCAATGGTTTGGATTTGGGTAGAGGCGTTGGTCATCGCTTGTCAATAGGATCCTCCAAATGCAGTGCCAAGGGCACCCGGTGACAGGCCTTCAGGTGACACGTTAGCTCGTCAGCCCCTGGTCTCCAGCAACAAAGGCATCCCAGCATATGTGGAGAAGTCCCGCTTTTTTGCTGCCTGGCTATGTGTTTCAGCTTTTTCATGTGTCTTCTCAGCTCTTTCGTGGCGTACTTTGCCGATCGTTTTCTGAGTTAAAGAAGTCAGCCCGCCAGGTGATCCTTTGCCCTTACGTGCGTCAAGACGACTCAAATATTCTTCTCAGCAAACGGACTTGGTCCACCAGGGCATGGTGTCGTCTTGAGCGCCTTGCAAGTCAATTGCATGCAGGGGAGAGCAACTACATGATCGAAGTGCGCAGCGCTAGGCACCATTCTCTTGTGATGCCATACGCCCTTCGGCTCAAACTGAGGGCCACTGCTAGAGTGAGAGTCAAGATAGTTATATGCTATAAATTGTAAGTCATAGTGCGCACAAGCACGATGTTGATGAGAAGGAAATTCGATGCTCATCTTGGCCCCGTTTGCGCAGTTGGCTGGTGCTTCAGTTCATAAATTGCAAGTTTATTTATCACATGGATGCTTGGTTGATTCACGAGCTGGGCTTATGCAAGACGTGTCAGGAGTATTGTCGAGATCCTGTTGGTGAAGGTGACTTTACTGTGGCTGAAGATCGCGAAAAGGCCTCGATTGTCATGAAGGACATGTTCGACAAGAGGTTGCGGTTCTTTTTGCGGCAGCAGGATTTTCACAGCCGCTTGTAATTGATGATGGGCAATGAGAGGCTTGTGTAACACTAAGAGTTCTTCTGACTCACCTTCCCCGCTATGGGGAAACATTACATATACCCTCCCTAGCCCAACTTGTATCAACATGCAGCAGCAACCTCCGGCAGGGTAACTCCCCTAACTACATTCCAAAACCTGAGGGTTCTGGATATCATGACACAAGACAGACAGACTGACAGACAGAGAGAGAGAGAGAGGGAGATGAAACTCCTTCTTGTGGACACCTAGACACGCACAAGCGCACGGGTGCATTGGCAGTTGTCCCCCTCAGCCAAGGCTTTCGGATTCTGCTGAACATGCAATATTGCCAGTTTAGAGGTTTACCGTTGGAACCCTCGGAGAGTATGATCCCGGGCTTCCACAGCAATGCTGATGCTTGGACGCAAGAACCCACCAGAGTGGGTTGGAGTGAGGGAGAGGGTGAAGTATGGTGAAGTGCATCAACGACTCTGCCAGATCTAGAATGATTTGCTAGAACACTCACTCACAGCTTGCACTTGACTGGGTTTAGTACGAAGGGTGTTTGTGCCGTTAGGGTGGGCTGAAATCTTCAGGAAGATCCTTCGACCATGGCCTTCCTGAAATTTATGCATCAGAATGCCTTGACGAAAGCAATTGATCGTGATGAAGAGGGGTGGAGCCCCATGTGCTACGCAGCTTTGCGTGGAGATCCGCTCGTCATGAAAGGACCCTGGCTCAAACGGGATGAAAGCTTTCTGGTTTGGTCCTATGATGTCCTAAGTGTCCCATGCATATTATATATATGTGTGTGTGTGTATGTGTGTGTGTGTTCTTTTTTAAGGGGGTTAGGCCCGGGGTAGGCCGCTAGTAGCTAGGTAGCTAGTACATGCTAGTACCTACAAGTAAGCTACTAGGAAATGGACGCAGGATAGCTCACGCACTAACGATTTGGTTCCTAGATGTTTAAGGAAACTTGACTTACTAGTAGCCATGGCTGCCTAGGCCTAGGCTGCCTAGTTAGTTAGTCAACTCTGATTTGACATCCCAGGTTGTTTTTGAGTTCCTCCCTGATTGCCTGCTGAGGATTGCTTGCTAGGGGTGCGGACCCCAACGATCGCGTCACGAAGGCCACTCCAAAGATCTACATCGTGCAAAGCACAACGATTCTGGTGATATGCTTCCAGCTCGCAAGCAGTATACCAGTCGTTACCACCTTTTTAACCTTTACGATTCATGTGAGAATTGCTCAGTAGGTCCCCGGCCCCGCGCACACGGTGGTGGCCCAGGTGTTTTTCTCCGCCACCACGATGCATTGAAACTCCTCCTTGCGAATGGCGCCGATGTCCATGCAACGGATGATATGGGCTCCACTGCCTTGCATTATGCCTGTGTGAACCACAACTTTGAGGTCACTTGGACAGGGCACGTCAAAAAGGATCAGTAGCTGTCAGTAGCTTATAGCAAGGGCTCTATTTTTGTTATTTTTTGCCCGTTGGCCATTCGTGTTGGGATGTAGGATCTCCAGCATGTCACTCCCGCTGAAACGAAAGCATATACGGTCTGGGTCACTTTTGGTGCATCGTTTCAGGATGTTTCGGGTGGTCTAGCCTCTACTAAGCTACGGTGCACAAGTGCAACACATGTGGATGGTGGTTTCCATTGGATCAAACTAAGCCGGGCCAATCTCCCGACCCTCGAACGAACGAGGCCTTCCAAATCCTCACTGCAGCTGGTGGCCAAGTCACTACCATGAATCAGTTGGGGCATTCCCCGAGGCTTCTCGCTGGTGGCGCCGCTTGGCAAAAAAGACCGCTTGTTGAGTTCTTTGTGGACGGGTGAGCATAGGATGAGACGATATGAGATGGTGATGTTGACATATGTTGGTCCAACTTCTGTCAGATATTGTCAGATCCACAGAGAAGAAGTCGAACCACGCGTGGGGTCGGTGCACGTTTGTTCGCACTGGGTGAGGCTGGGAGCGGCAAGGGGAGCGTGGAACTCGTCCGCCACCTCCTCAGCAACGCACCCAAGGAGGACGTCGCGATATGTCCGATATGTGCGAGGGAAGTGGAAGAAAGTGAGAGGGCAACTGCCGACGAACTGTTCAACATCACAAAGGCCAAAGAAAACAAGAGAGTCCATGTGAAAGTAGCCCCCCTCCCCTATTAGGACGCGAGCATGGCGCTGCACTTAAGCTGCTCGGAGCTACAAGAGTCTTCCTGAGTCACCTGGGTCTCGCCGCGTGTGTGCCAAGTAAACATACCATGATATGTGGACAATGTTGTCCAATTCATTAAAGATAGTTGCAACAGAATTTGGACAGGCATGGGAGCAAGAATCATGTACACAGACATGCACCGACCATTTCTTGGATTTGCTATATATGATTCTGGTCTGGTGTTCTCAACCGTGCATGTTTTGCACTCCTTGGTTGCAATGGCGGTTGCAATGGCCAAACAGCAGTAAGCAACAAGCGGCAGCAATCCAGGTATACTTTTTGGTGGCGCTTCGGCTGATGTGGTCACAGCCTTGGTCCATGCTGGGGCAGACATCGATCAACCACTGGCGTTTCCAACCTTCAGCAGCTTGGCCACGGCTTTGGGTTCAAGGCATGGCAATGCTGCTAAAGTCTGGTGGCACCTGCAGGGCTTCTGCTCTTCTTGGGTGAGTCGCGGAGTCGCGGTGTTGATGTTAGTGAAATCTTGGAAGCCTAGGTGTGCTTGGCTTGCTCTTCGGATTTTTGCACCTCGCTCTGCAAAAATGCAGATGTTATAAGAAATTGATGTGGCCTCGCGGTCCCAAATTTTGACATTTGTGTTGGGTAGCCTCCATTGTGCATGCAATTGACGCAGAAGTCTTAAGGGTTCCGTTGTCCGTTGTGTTTTCGCCAGCCCAGGGCATTGAGGAACCGTTGGAACAGAACACCGGCTCCTTGGCAGTCTCCACGTCGTATTTTTTTTGTTATTGGTGCACTTAGCTGTTGCTGCTCTACCGTTTTTGCCCGCTTGTGTTTCATCAGCGCTCAGGTGAGCTTCTATGCTGCCCAACACGTTCATGCCACACCATTGAAGCTTCTCTCAGTTTGGCTGGGATCACTAACACACACTGCTAAGAGAGACACTTATCATTTCAGTAAGTCACGCATGCGCATGCCTTCAGAGCTGAAAGGTGGCATCATCTGAAAGGACTCATGTCCACTTCATTGAGCTGTTGCATGCCGTTGCGGCATCGACATGGCTTGGGTTCGCGCGTTTGGCTAATCAAACCACGCGAACCCACAGGTCGATCCAGAAGGAAACCGGAAAGCAAACCGGAATGCAACAGGTGAGACAGGCTACTGGTTGGAGATGATCGGAGCTATACAGCTATACAGTACATACACACATGTCATGGAAACCTTCGAGGAAAGCCTACATAGTAGAGACTGGTAGCCTTGTCAACTGCCCATGCAAGAAGTGGCCGTACTGAGGATGTGTTGCATCATGTGCGGTTCCTTCGAAGCGGCTGCCACACTCTTGGCATTGGGTGCGCGCTTGGACGTGCAGAATCAGAATGGCCTCACTGCTAAGGAGGGTCCCCCCTGTCGAAGAGGGAGCCCCTGCAAAGTAAGGACTCAAGGTTCTCGATTTCGGTTCAAGATTCAAGATTCCAACAGAATCCAACAAAACCCTCCTGGTCCGGACCTTGATGCAACTGGACAGCAATGTTGGCCCAAAGCAAAATCGCAATGTAAGCTATCAATAGCAATACTGAAAAAGAGTACGCAAAGTCAATGCAATGAGATGATATGACATTATATGATGCAACTAGCATGCTAGCTGAGTTCTTCTTTGCTTTAGCAATTGGTAGTGGAATGAGCTGCGTGCCTTAAACCTTGATATATCACACTAAGGGGGGGGCCTGACCCCCCACTCTAGCGTGATATATCACGCTAAGGACCCCCCCCCCCCCCCCCCCCCCCCGCGGTTTAACTCCCAGCTGCAGGCGTTTTGGCATTAGTGGAGGTGTTGTTACATGTTGGAAATTGTTGGTGTTTTGTTTGGTATTTTGGATTTTGGGGTGTGCGTTCAAAACCAGGATGTCAAAGACATCATGCACTTGAATTTTGGATGATGATCCTGGATAGCGGAAACACATGTAATTATTGGAGAATCAAGATGACACTCATGGGATTTTGCATGCGTTTTTGCAAAACATCCACTGATACTTCCACTGATTTAGTGTTTGTATTTAGGATTCATTGACGAGCTTTGTCGGAAGCATGGTCAGCTTCGTCGGAAGCATGATCATTTGCTCGTTTTTTCTTGTGGATGCATCACATAACATTTCGGCTGCGCATCGTCAGTTGATGAATCTTCATTACCTGAGAGCAAAGTGTTTGATTTTACTGTCTTGGACATGTGTGGTTTGGCAAAATCACGAAAGCTAGCATGCTAGCTGAGTTCTTCTTTGCTTTAGCAATTGGTAGTGGGATGAACTGTGTGCCTTAAAGCTTGATATATCACGCTAACCCTCCCCCCGCTCCCCCCCCCCACGGTTCGACTCCCAGTTGCGCCGTGTAGCGGGGGTTGGTTGAACGTGTGAACGTGCTTGGTTGGGTGTAAACGGTGGCTTGGTGTAAACGGTGCTGCTGCTTGCTGCTGCTGTTTGCTGCTGCCTGAGGTTGCCGCTTTTGTAGCTGCTGCTTTGCTACTTGTTGCGGCTTGGTGCTGCTGCTGCTGCTGTTGCTGACGGCGCCGCCGCTGCTGCTGCTGCTGCTTGCTGCTTGCTGCTGCTGCTGCTGCTTGCTGCTTGCTGCTTGCTGCTTGCTGCTGCCGCTGCGGCTTGGTGCTGCGCTGCTGCTGCGTGGTGCTGCTGGCTAGCTGCTGGTTGGTGGTTGCTGCTGGCTGCTGGCTGCTGGCGGCTGCTGCTGGCTGCTGCTGCTGCTGCTGGCTGCTGCTTGCTGCATAGGACTTGTACTTCACTGTTACAAGTTCTTTACCCCTATTTCTAACCTAATGCATGCATAAGCGGGTGGTAAATTTACCACCCAGGTCGCTATTTCCTCAAGACACTCTATTCCTGATAACTTTTACCAGTGCTTATCCTACACTACGGACGCCCTAGCGTATGCACAGTCCTTGTGATGCTTACCCCTCGTTCCGGCTCAAGGCATACATAAGCTGGGGGTAAATTTACCCCCAGATTTGCCATAACCATAAGCCGGCTATTTCCTCAAGACACTCTACTCCTTATACCTTGTACCAATGCTTATCCTACACTACGGACGCCCTAGTGTATGCACAGTCCTTGAGATGCCAGAAATGCTTACCCCTCTTTCCGGCACAAGGCATACATAAGCGGGGGATACAGTAAATTTAACCCCCAGATTTGCAATAGCCATAAGCCGGCTATTTCCTCAAGACACTCTATTCCATATGCCTTTTACCCGTGCTTCTCCTACACTACGGACGCCCTAGTGTATGGACAGTCCGTGTGATGTCAGAAATGCTCACCCCTCTTTCCGACTCAAGGCATACAAAAGCGGGGGGTAAACTTAACCCCCAGATTTGCCGATCACGCATCTTCGTGCCTGCCAACGAGTTCCAATGTACCCTTCCCAGTCGGCGATGTCACATGTACATTCTTTAGCGCAAAGTATGTACGTAGCAACCTTTCTCCCAAAACATGTAATCACTACATGCTTTGCCGACTATGTAACTACTGTAGTACATCCGGTGCGATTCGGCTAGCTTTCGACCTCCTCCCCCTGGCCTCAAGTCAATGCAATGAGATGATATGACATTATATGATGCAACATCCGTAGCTACTGAGCCCAAGCCAGTCGGCAGGACTGTTCAAACAGGCTCACTAGGAAAATCTATACAAGCAACTATCCGGGGCACAGTTCACATATCCGTCAAGGACCCCATGGGCTCCGGCATAATCGCATAGGGCAAAACCTGAAGTTTGGTCTCAACGTTCACCTGGCTTTACCATTCTCTCCGCATCTCTCCGCTCTTGTTGAGGCCACTTTTCGATTCAAGTGATTGACCTTGGCAAGCTGAGCAAGCCACGCCGATAAATAAGCATTTTGCTGGGAATCCCATGCCAAGATATGCCAAGGCATCAATGTTGGCCAAACGATGCATAATACATGAAGTTACTCCCCAGGATTCTTTGCGGTGATGTTTCCACGCCCTTGCCGTTCCATATGCCAATCGTTCGGTTCTTGCGTTTTATGCACTCGCAAACGCACCGCGCTTCGACGGATTTGTAACCACCATGTGAGAACTGTTTCCCAGTGGCCTCCAAAGAAACGGCATTGGTCAACTCATGATGAAAACTGAGCCCCAAGAACATGTTCAGCAACCCTGGCATGAGCATCATGAGCTTAGCTAGCCTTCCCTCAGTTTCAACAAATGCTCCCGCTTCAGCAAGAAGGGCATGCGAAAGAAAACAAGAGAAGACCAGCCAAGATCTAAATAGAAACCAACAATTCCGCGTTCCTCTTCCACATAGATCCTCCACCAAAACCCACTGGAAACCCATGGAGGACTTGGTCGCCGAGCTCGGGGCCCCCGACTTCGTGCTTTCGGCTGTGCATGGGGATCGCGAAGCGTGCGAGGTGTGGGTTCTTCTCTTTTGGGTCGTGGCCTTCGGAAATAGGGCGATGTGGCTGAAATATGGAGAGAGCCCCGTACTGGTTCTAGTCATGTTCGGCGATGTGGCTTAGACATGGAGAGAGCCCCGTAGTACTGGTTCTAGTCATGTTCTAGTCTACTGTTGCTCCTGCCAAACACTCTTCCAAAGGGGTGCTCACGATTCTGACGACCACAAGTAAGACTGTCCCAGCCAGGCATCGTTCCCAGTCAGATGTGTTGTTTTGTCCAATGAATGGCGTCAAGAGTCATTGCCCAAGTTGCGCAGGCCTTATTGGTGACCAGGCAGTTCCATGGAGCACAGTCAGCCATCATTTGCTTTAGCACTGCTTTTGTTTCTTCTAAACTAAACCATTCAAACGTCTAGTCTAAACACTGTCCAAGCACTGACTCAGGGGAGTTTCTTCCTTTTTGTCCTTCTTCCCATCTTTGCTTCTTGCTCTTTGGAACCCTCGCAGGACCTTCAGCTTCTGAAGCACACTTGCACAAGATCCAGGAAGTCTAAACAAGTAGGCTCTCACCATGCCTTTCAAAAGGCAACATTTTTCCAAAGTTTTAGCATATCGCAATTCTTGAAGTAAGATCCAACTGACTCCTCTCATTCAAGCATGCATAGTTCAAATAGATCCCAAATTCTTGGGTGTCGGATTTCATGGTGAACTTGGTCAGTGGATCTTTGATTCTTGCAATGCTCTGCAATATTCTCCGACCTGCCGAAGAACTCTTTTTCCGCGGAAATTCCTTCAAATTTGGTCTCCCGCGACATTAGAGCGTGGATTGCACGTTCCACACCTTCGTAAATGCTCAAGCTGCAAGGCCAAATTGGAATGCCAGTGGGAAACAGAACTGCTAAGCGCCCACTTGTCCATTGGTGTTTCGTCAGTTGTGTTTTGTTGGTTCTCCATAGAGTTGCGCATAGCGATAATGAAAAAAAAAACATAAACAAACTCTTGGCCTTGGCTGTGATGTCGACCTTCGACCCTCCTTCATGGCAGCTTGGCCAAATGGAGGTTGAATGGCAGGATGCAGCTTGGCGAAAGGCCGTGGGCCGCCTGACCACAAATCCCTACTCTCAAGATTTCAACATCTTGAGACATCCTTGAGGTTAGACCCAACAACTCTCCAGGAAGAAGCTTGAGAAGCTATATAATGGGGTTACACGGAAGCAGTATGTGACAAATAGTATTTGTTTAAATGATGTTTGGTACTGAGCGGGTGATTCCTATCACCTCCCAAACGCTCCCAACGATTGGGATTGGCCAATCCGGAACAAGGAGAGCACAGTAGGCACAAGTGCACCAGCACAAGGGAGTGCCCTAAACCCGTTTCACCGACTTTTGCAGCTGCCAGATGCGGTCGCCCGACCTACGGTCGCTCGACGGATACAAAAGTCAATTGCGCTGGCTGCGACAGGCTGGCCACAGGGTGTGAGAATGGCTACCTATCTTGGGGTGTCAGAATGCACGGGGTGGAGAATGGTTGAGAATGAGTGTGCGAATCGCGGTTTAATGCCAAATGCTCTCATATCGGTTTGGATCATGTTTGGTGGTTTCACCTCCCCCCATGCCTGGCTGCCCGTGGGCCGCCCATTTTCGGTGATTGCAGGCCACTGGAGCTCCGCAAGCAGGTCAGCTTAAAAAGATGTGTCGTGCTGAACCATCCATGCTGACACCTTCGTCGTGTGGATCCAAGTTGTGTTCGTAGTTACTTAATTAGTGTATCTTAGCCTTAGCCACCTGGCCCCTGCAGCCAACGACCGGCTTCCAAAGGGTGTAAGGCTGCTTGAAAGAGGTCATGCCAATCTGAGTTTGTACAGACTCAGACCATACTTGCGCACTGCTTCACAGTAGCCGGTAGCCAACTGATTTATAGCATCGAATCAAAACACGGCCACACTTGTCAATGGCACGATGCAATGGAAATGCCTCTCAATCTTTGGACTCATCTACGCAGAAGGGTGGCTTGGGCCTGAATGCTAGGCAGCCTGTTTTGCAAAGCGTGAGGGTCTCACGTTGATGCACTAGTGGCTCTGTAATGAGCCATGACAGTGGCGGTAGGTTCACAAACTAACAGGAAAGTGTCAGGCTGACCAACCTCAGTTTTGGGTTTGAGCGATTTTTGATAATTTTGAGCTTTACATGTTCTGAGATGAGATTGAAGATGGTTTATCGTGAAGCTGAGAAAATATGTTGGGAATGTGTACTGGGTACGATCCATGCAGCCATTGCAGCTGGAGGCGCGCTGGAAACACGGCAGGGAGAAGTCACCAAAACAAACGCTGTACCTCGCAGAAAGCATTAGAAGGCCAAACCATACACGGCATGCTGCTGCCATGGGCAGCTGTGCTCCTTTGTGCCAATGCGCAAGAGTTGGCGCTGGGCATCTATGGCGCCACTGGGTCCATTATGCCATAGGAGATTCTGTGCGATCCTCCTTCAAAGAGCTAGGCTTCCTTCCACCTTCAGGAAGGATAATCGCGCTATTAGGTTGGGGGCCATTACTACTAGTAGCAAGATGCTACTAGGTGGAGGCCATCGCAAGTAGGTCGGAGGCCATCGCTACTAGGAGCAAGGACGCTACTGGGTGGAGGCCATCGCGTTCAGAGCTCATGTCAAGGCAATGACCACTTTTACACAGCTCCACATAGCCGTGGTGGTCACCTTTGACCTGGACCTACGCAAGAACTTCGACGCGAGCGTCCGGGCCCGTTACGGGCCTCCCATCATTCAGATCCCCAACTTGCACCCGGGGGCGTCTCGCCTGGGTGTTTAAACAAAAAGTTCTCTGAAACAATGGTCCAATTGGTTCAGCATGGTTCAGCCAATCCAATGAAAGCCAGTGGCCTCAACTGGAATGTGTCAAACGGCAGGTAGCGAACATCACATTTCGCATCGGCACCAGTCACGCAATGACGGATATTGGTGTGGGCACTGCGTTGGATTTCACGCTTGGCTTGGATGGAGAGACCCCAGTCGTGGGCTTGGTGGGCGGAGCACCCTAGCTTATCCAGCCAACGAAGCGTTTACTTGCTGTGAAGCTAGGATGGGTGTTGTTTGGTGTTTGTTTGAATGGTTCTGCGTGGCTTATAGATAAGCATGATAATGTGGCCAGTCATAAAGGTAGGCGAGTTTTCTGGCTGACCCTGTGCTGCTGTTGCACTGCCAAACTCGATTAAGGACTTGTTATGATTGTTATGGGGATTCAACAGCAAGTGTTCAATAACAAACCCAATTTGAGCCTTGATCTGAAACCCTGACGCCATGCTTACAAAATACACATATATGAATGATATCATATATATGCCAGAAATAATGGGGTGAGAGAGATAGAGAGAGAGGGAGAGCCCGTCAACATGCAGGTTTGGGGCCCCAGTTGGTGCCTATGTAGAAGCAGAAGATGGCAGAAACCAAATCTTGGAAGCACAGAACTGAATGCCATATTCCTAACATGATTTCGATGCCACAGTGTGGTTGAAACAAAGATTGCGATAGTTTGCACTCGTAGCAAAAGATGTCAAAAGCCTTTACGTTGTATATAAGGCCAGTTTGCGCCACAATTTGTTAGTTTGAGTCGCCTCCCATTGGCTCATGCTCTAAAACAAGGCAGGGGCGCTGTGTCGTGCAGAAGCGTTTGGAACTCTGTGCGCAAGCTGGATCCCGCTGTCGTGAGGTATATTCTGGCATTGCCATGCCAGTTGCCAGCATCGCAGCCACACAGAAGGTCCCCCAGATCGCTTTTGGAGCGACCAGCCCTGCTTTGTCCAACAAGGAGCACTTTCCGTACTTCTTAAGGACCGGGGGGGCGACTCAGATGACCCGCGTGGCAAACGACCCACTTGAAGCCAGCGGCTTTATTAAAGAGAAGCCGTAGTAGCAACATGTAGCAGACATCAAAAGTAAGCATTTGCGTTCCATCTAACTCCGCGCTTGGGTCCTTTGGGCCTGGGCCAAGATATGCCAATATTATCAATCTAGATCAAGTAAAGGATGATCGTTAATCATTACTAGCCAAGCCACATGTCACGTGAGCGCATAGCAGGACAGTGCCACCAGATAGCATTCAGGGCCGAGCATTCTGGAATTGGGTCGTCGTATTCCAAGTGCCAATGGTAGTTTGCTTGTATGGCATCGAGCCCTATGGTAGCTGAAGACTTGATTCAACACCTTGTGTTGTTTTTTTTGTGATTTGGGGCTGCCTGCGCCGCCCCACGCAGCGGACTGACTTTCAAAGTCGGAGAACATCTCCGTCGGGCTGGTTGGGGTGCCGGCAACATGTCATGCAGTGTACCTAGCTCACCATGCGAGTTTGCAGCTGCAAAGCATCAACCTGGACAGCAGATCGAGACTCGACTGGAACCTGTGGTGTCAAACCTTTAATCAACATGCCGCGGCGCGGAAAGCCCGAACCTTTGAAGCTGCTTTAAGCTGCTTTGTGTTGGTTGAGTAGGAGCTATATGTGTTTATATATATATATGATATGATATATTTGTTGCACTTTGCCATGCTTTGTCGCAGGAGCATATCAATGATGTAGGCCACATAAAGCTCAACAGATTTACTACTTTAATTTGCTTTTATTACTCTCAGATGTGCAACTTTTCAACGTACTTAACACATGTGTTGCAACTCTGGGCCTCGTGATTTGTTCCGAACCGAGAGACTGGGAGGCGGAGCCAGAACAATTGATAAAGGAGGTGATGTGTGGGTTTGCGCTCATCGGTCGTGCTTGGTACTCCGTAGTCGTACTTGGGTCACTCCACGACACGGTAGGATGCCCCTAGTAGCGATGCCAGGAGCCCCTAGTAGCTTCTTGTTCCTAGCTTGCTTTATGTTACCTCATGTTTCCTCCAGAGCCCTTGTCCCTCAACTCTAGGAGCCGTCAAACTGAGGTGAAGGCCTTTACTTGGCCATCAGGGAACAGGCAGATCTGGCCAATGAGGATGGACGCATCCGGAGCGCTGGCCTGCGCAATATGCAGGTTTCCCTCTCTTTGATTGATAACCTGAGATAGCACGGGGACTCTTTGGGAATCCCCTTAAACAATGTATATAGCTTCTTGTTGCTAGTTACTAGTAGTACGGCCAGGAGCCCGTAGTAGCGTCCGAACGCTCCTATTGGAATGCTTTTCAAAAGGATTTGGGACCTCTACATATAATAGTGAATTCCTTTCGAGTCTGCACATGACATGCAGATATCAATACCCTTCAATCCAAATGCCAACAGAAACTACAATATGCAGCTCGATGAAGCTTGAGGTGAACTTCGTTGTGGAAGAAGGTCAGGCCGCCATTGACATTGCAAAGTCATTCGGCTCTCCCTTCATTTTTCTTTGCTTCACCACCGTGCCTTGGCACGCTGGGGAGGTGTTTGTGTTTTATATGTTTCTCCTTGCGGTCTCATTCATGTGTTAGCTTTGCTAGGTTCACAGCCAAATCTGCCAAGGCGCTGGGCAATCACTTGTGGCCACTCATGGAGAATGCAGGCATGTTCGGCCCAAGTTGGCAACTCGTGGCATGTGAATCCTTGACAGAGCTTCCATTCCCTGTTGGTGCTATGCGGTGGTCTCCTTCAAGCACCGGTCCCAAATATGTGGATTGGTTGGACCTTTGGGGCAACCTGACTGCGGACGATGTGTTGTCCACAGCTGCAAGAGAGCGCTATAAGATTGACAACTTCAGGGTGCCTTTGAGTCAAGCTACAGCTCCTCCCATCACAGATGCTACCTTCGAGAATCGCGAGGTCTTCGTCTACGATTCTTTCCTTTTCGATGCGAGTTATACCTTCGTGCTTGCCATCAATGACCTGCTGAATAGTGGAACACCGCTTGCAGACATCAAGGGAGAGACTCTCCTAAACCAAATAAAGACGACACAGTTTGAAGGCATCTCGGGAGCGGTCCCTGGGCTGCTTGCGTAGAAAATCTTTCGCCAAAACTCACACAAAAGGCTGTGGGAGCCCAATTTGTTCTTCCCTCATTGCATTTTGTTCCCAGAAATGTTCCATGTACTAAACCACACCTACCCGTCGCACGCTACTCAGGTGAGTTTCGACCCCAACGGTGACCGGCTCGCGGCCTACCAGTTTTGGAACAAGGAACCTGATGGGGAGTTCCACATCACCGGCATGTTCCACGCTGCCACCAACCAGCTTGAGCTTCCAGGCGCGGACCGTGTCACCACTGCTTCGCCTCCACACTGAGCAAATCCGATCGAAAAGCACGTGGGTTTGTGGGTGGAGGATGGTGGAGGCACAAAGCAGCGAAGTTTGTTGACATCATGAATCCTGGGTGTAAAAGATGAACACTTTCAGTGATATATCATGGAACACTGGGTTGATTATGATATATCATGATCGATTGTGCGGTTGCCAGTAGTCGTGCTGCTTGCTCTCCATTAACCGCCCGCTCGCCAACACAAACCTGTTGCAAAGGCATGGCAAGACCATGTCAGGCCTGCTCACAAAGCTGCAGAAGGGTTGGTGCATTTGAGGGTCTTCAGTTGTGAAAGAGCTAAATCGAAAGAACAACATGTAATGTAGATATAGAATGATATACAGTATATATATATATATAGGTGCTTTTTGTTTCTTTGATGACGTTCCCGTCTCTCAAGCATCCAATCGAAGGGTTACTTGCCCAGGCGATGGGGTCTACTGGATGAATGGCCAAAAGTTGCCAATGCCTCCAGCGGAGCTCATTGATTGCAGCATTGGCTTCTACAAGGACGAAGCGACAAGAAAGTGCGAAGCCTGCCCCAAAGGCCTGGCAACTCTTAGAATGCTTACATGTCTATTATGTTTATCCCTGAAGCGAGGCGTGTGGACTTGTTTTTGTGAACTGCACCGAGGGGGTAGGATAGGAGCCAACCCACAGAGACATGGTTTCTTGGTTGGGGACAGTTAGGGGAAACAGTTTGGCATAGTTGAGAAGTTGCTTCAATGTGCAATCTTCAAAGAACAGGGAGCAGACAAAACCATGAGGAGCATTCTCCAGGCAAGTGAGCATTCACCAAACAACCAATCCAGAAGGCCCTAGTCATTGCCTCACCTCAAACCAAACTGAAGGCTTTTATTGCGCGGGCAGTGCGCCCGAACCATGCCAAGCCGGGACGTTCTCCAACGTGATCGGAGCAGCTTCCTGCACGCCTTGCGGCTCGGCGAAGGTAGTTTCCAGCTTGTAGTGGAGAACTAATCTAAAATAAACAATAGTCGTTTGATTTACTGATGGCAATGGCCTCCAACCTAATAGAAATGGCCTCCAACCCAATAGCGATGGCCTCCAACCTATGGCCTGCCCCTACTGGAGAATCAATCTGGCAAGATTGTTGCAAACTGGAAACACCAACTCGTGAGAGGGCCTCGGTGTAGTTCCGGGGTTCACCGCACCGCAGTCAACAGGTGACTTTGGTACCTTTGCCAGCGAGATAGGCTCTACGCAATGCACGAGTTGCTACCCAGGCTTCTTCGCAGACAAGGACGCAGTGACGAAGTGAAATCGGTGTGCCATGGTGTTCCCCAAATGATGCACGTCCCGTTTTTTTGCACAAAAACATGCATTTTGCAGATTTGGTCTTCCCATCCGGTCGCTTTTGCTGCGAAGTGCTGAGCCTGCAGTCAGGGAAAGGACACAGAAGACCCAACATACAAAGGACGTGTAGATGAGCCATGAAGGCTGGGAACCCCTCCCAAGCACAAGCGCCTGAGTTCGAGCAGCAGAACATTTTAGGTGAGTGGCCCCAGCCAAAATTGAAGCTTCCCAGTCAGCCCTGAATGCGTACGCAAACACCGCGAAGCGCTCGAATTTGGATTAAGCACGTCGCACCACGAAATACCGAGATCAACAGCGCTGGAAAGGAAAGAGGATGGACCAAGATGCAGGGCATGGGCTGAGATGGATGTTCAACTACCATAAAAATAAAACATCCATAAACTGCCATGGTTTGGAGGTTCTTGCTGTTGATTCTTGACGTGATTTCACCCACATCCATGCCGATCGCACCTGACAGTTTCTGAACCGGAAGCCGTTTTTCACCTTTTATGCGTGCTGAACACAACACTCACCAATATAGATTAACTCTTTTGCCAGGGTGTGCCCACTGCAGCAATATATTGGTTTGGGATGTTTGGGGCTGTTCTCTTCAGGCGAGGGTTGCTGCCAAAACCCTGCGCCACCCACGCTGCCCCAAATAAACCTTCCACAAACAAGATCAATCAAACAAGCCTTTGAATTTGCCGCGAAACGCTCGAATTTGGATTTGCGTTTGGCCTTCGGGCATGCGCCGTCGTTTGCCCTGCACATATCTTGCACCTTGGCGTTCGGCAGTGCATAGGCTTCCTGAATCCAAGACAGACTAGTAGAGAGGCGCTGGAAATGTTCCTTGCCGCGTCCAAAAAGTTGCAAGGCCAGCTTGATGGCAATGTTACAATGTTATACAATGTTTGTATTTGCGCGAGTGTCGAATCTCGGTTTCTGTGTGTGTGCGCACGTTCTAACTCACAGCTGAAGCAACACAGGCCAGCTTGTGATGTCGGTCTTCGCTTTGAAACTTCGAGCATTGAGCATTGTAGTCAGGGCCTGCAGTGCCGCGCATTGCAACAGTTTGTCGGCTGTGTTCTGTGTGAAGTGTAAGTCTTGCCTTTTCCACTTGTGGTGACTATGCGCCAGCCTGCAATCACCCGCATCATTGAAATGGCCAGTTCGTTGGCCTGTTTCCTTTCATCGCGCCACGCAAACGTCTCACATCCTACGCCTTTCTGGCTTGGAAACTGCGAATAGCTCCAGGTAATGTACGTGCACGTCACGTCCTCATGACCAAGTCAGTCAGTCCAACGTGTCTCCCCAAACAAATTGATGACTTCCTCCTTTTCGACTGCAGCGTGCCACGGAATCTAAACCACTGCCAGGCCGTTCCTCTCGTCATGGAGATAATAACTTCCGAGATTGCCATGTTTGTGCCGTTTCTCCTGCGCCTGCAAAGCACTTAGTGGGCATTTGGAAACCTAGTCAAGGCAACCAGCGTTTTCAATCCCCACACCAATGATCCAAGCCGGCACCGGCAACTTGTGTCTTTGTTATCCATGAGCGTCAGGATCTCAATGCACAATGTGGCCAGCTTCTTGGTCGGGGCCAGTTGTGGCCCACAATATGATGACGAGCCTTCAAGCAGCTCCTAACAGAGAGCCCCACTTTCAGCTGCCCAATGTTAGTCCAAAGCCCAGATCCCGACCTAGCATGCGTTCAGCATCTTATTAGACTAAATATTGGACAACACCTGTCTCCACGTGCACCTGAAACAGAATAAGATAGAATGAGAATGCGCGATCGCTCTTCTGACGAGCATGAGCACAAAATGGCGCGACTGTCAGTCAATGGTCATCGAATCCAACGCCTCGTTCCTTCCCAGATAATCCTTTCTGTCACGCCACTCGTGATAAATTAATAATAAGCTACTAGGAACAAGTGCATCGCTACTAGTAACAAGGGCCTTACTAGCTCGGAACCCACGCAGAAATGGACAGGGATTCTAAAAGCAGGGATGCCGATTCCCGACCGCAGGGGGGCATGGAGGCCTGTCAGAAGTGCCCAAAAGGTACGTACATGCCGAGTTTCAAAGCAACAGCTTGCATCCAGTGCGGACTCTCGGCCAAAATAGGCAAAGGAAGAAAGAATATGAAAGAATTGTTTGGATTGGTGTATTGATCTATCACTTGGTGCAATGAAGCCCTGAAGGGGGCCGGCAGCGCAGCCAAGGTATGCAACAGGAAACGGAGGAGAGCGGATCCCAAGATGACGATGAGTGCCGCTGTGCACAAGGGTCCTTCATGTGCAACTAAACCTGCAAGAGTTTTTCCGGAAGGAAGTTCTAAAACCCGCGCGTGGAAGACCTCGCACCAAACCGCAGTTGTGATTCACGGAGAAGCTTGTGACACCATGATGTTCTGGCCAGCGGGCAACCAGCGTCCCAGAGGTTTGAGCGGCAGAAGGTAGACCCCACTTCCTGATGGCCAAAGCACCAAAGTGTTCCACTTTAGTTTGTTCGCTTAGCATGTTCTTTTTCTCATTTATGTTCTTGGCCGACTCACCTAATCAACTTCAAAGAAATGCACACTGCACTCTCCAGGCAATGAGAGCTTGGCAACAGCAAGTTGCCAGCCTTGCCCTGAGGGCCTCACATGCCACTGGGCATGATTCTCCCGTGATCGTTGGTCAAACCACTGCCGTTCCCCCCCCCAGTCAAGAGAAGAGTCAGCCGGGCAGTTTCGCCCTTTTCGGTAGAGGGTCCGGGAGGTTAGTCGGTGCCTGGGCGCAGCGCTGTCGTTGGACAGCCGGATGTGGCGCTCCCAGGCCCTGCAGGACTGGACCCACCAGTTCAGCAGCCGGGCTTTTGGGCGGAACCGACCGCCTGCAATTTCAAAGTCTTGCGCTGCCGAAACCAATTGGAATGCCCAGGTGCATTTGGACCCAACAGACCTTGCAGAATCAAATTTGGACATCGGTCCTTTATGGTCCTTCATGGGCGCATTGTCGTGGCATTTGAACATTCGGTCTGGCTGTGTGATTCTTATCGCGTGCACATTCACAGCGTTCCAAGTTGTTTGGGTGACTGTTCCCTTCAGCACCTGGGCAGGCTTAGCTTTGGGCGAGTGTGCCAAAGGGCGCGACGGGATTGCCTGCAACAATTGCCACTTCAACCACTACCCGCTCACTGCCTCAAATGGTGAAGTTCAGAGTTTTCATCCTTTTTTCTAGCAGTTGGTCCTTCCTGAGACGTTCTTCTTTTCCAGACTCATGTTGATCAACTACAAGTCACTGAACTCACGACACATGTCAGGCTGGAGAACGGGACCTGCGAGCTTTGTGGACCAGGTGATTATTGGCCTTCAATCCTGGCAGGGCTGATTGGAGTTCTGGTGGCCATCCTGCTGCCTGGTGACACCATAGGGGAACAAATCTTAGTGACTAGATGTGACTAGTAAACTCTGCATATGAAGAGGTTGTTCAATCCAGTTTGGGGCGCTCTATGGGGTTCTGAACATTTCTTAATCAAGAGTCCACTTTAGAGGTGTAAAATGACCATGCCGAGTCTTTCCAAAGGAAAATCAGGCGAAGACCTGAATCGAGAAATTGCGCTTGCGGTGAATACGTTGTGAATCCTTGAGACATGCTACGCCTTTTGCGCACCATGAGAAGTTTATAACTTTGTGTGTGTGTTTGTGTGTCACGTTCCAAACGAGGAGAACATCTTTGGTTTGTTTTCTCTTTTTTTTTGGTTCTTGAGACTCGGAAAATGTTTGGTCACGGTGCGCTGGTAGAGCACGGACATTTCTCAACCCAGCCTACTGGGCCTACAGCTCAGACGCGTGCGACAACGTGTGTCCGCAACGTGATGCTAGGATGGGATGGGCCTTACAGTGACGCAAAGACGTTGGATTGGCCGTCTTTGTTGTACAAAACCTCTTGGTAAGCCGTGCCAAGCCTTCTTGATCATACATCGTATCATATCATATCCAATGTATATATATATGAATATGTAATCAGTTACAACTTGTTCAGAGTTTTTGCGCCAAAAAAAGGACTCTGTCACCCCCTACTGCTACTTTGGTTCTGCACCCAATTTTGAGGCTCGTGCGCTCAGCCAAAGTGGATCTCAATCAGCCGCTGGTCTTGACTAGGAACGGCAGACGGATTTGAGGAGATGGCATGCGGTCATATAATGATATTGCTCGAAAACTAAAAACGCAAATGGCATCATGTCACCATGTGCAATGGCCATTCTCCTTTCTCGGTTGGCAGGCAAAGCCTGAATCTGTTGACAGTCGCTGCAGTGGCGAGTCAGACCATAACAGCCTTGCAAGCTTTGGGGTCCATCCGGAAGCTTGCAGTTGAGTGGATCTATCCCGTGCGAAGAATCATTGAGCTCACTAAGCTGCCTGGATTGGCAAAGCCTTGCTATTTTTGCAAAGAAATCCTGTGCAACAGCAATGTTAAAATGCAGAGATAGATTTGCTATGCATCACAATTGTTGGCTTAAACATGACTCGCAGCTGTTCCGAAACAAACTGCACTTTTGTCGAGTCTGACCAGCGGTCGCGTGCATCATGTGTCAGGATTGTCAGCTTTGACCTGGACGTCATCAAGATTCGTGCATTTTGGGTCAAGACAGCCCCACCTTGAAATTCATTGGTCAGCTTCTCCTTTGGCCGATGGGCCTTGGTGTTTTTCTGACCTGCTGGCTGATCTCTCAGCTGAGGGGTGATAAGATGTCCTTGGATACCGTTTTTCAACTTGGTGGTGTCCTGGTGTTTGCACTTTTCATTTCGATCACCTTGGCTGTCTTGGATCCCTTCTTGTGCATCCAAAATCCCGATGGATCTTCTTCAATGGCTTCCAGTCCGGGCGTCGTTTGCTTCAACTCAGAGGAGCATGTCTGGCTGGCGTTCCTGTCAAGTCTAGGGATCCTTTGCTACCCTTTGCTTGTTTTGAGCTGGGCCACTTTTACCACTTTGTGGCTCGTCCGTTTCGTCAAGTCCTACGTTTTTTGTTTTTTTGAGCGCAACGAAAGTGTCCACGACCTGAAATGAAGTATATATGGGGAGGGACATGTATAGAGATCTTGGCCAACCGAAGAAGCACCCCCATCGGCTGGTTTTGAGACCCCGTTGGTGTTATTTCAGGGCAGAGTCGCGTCCCTTGCTGTCACAAGTCCCTGTGTTTGTGCTGAGGATGTATCCGTCCAGAATCAATAGTGGTGCCGGGCTGAAGCTGGTGCGCCGGCATGGGTTTCTTTTTCAGCGCTTCACCCGGGAATGCTATTTCTACGGAACGCTGCTGTTGCTGCGGAATATCATCGTGTCGCTGGTTCCGGTGGCCTTTGCAGCAGTCCCTGAGGTCCAAATGGTGATCATGGGCGCTGTTTTGGTGACACTTGGAGATTCAGTTCATGCTGGTGGCCTTTTTCTGCAAAGAGTTGATTGAAATTGAAACAGAAACACACAAAATCAGCAAAACAATAGCAAACACAATGAATCGAAAGAAGCTGAGGAGGTACTGTGCCAGACAAGCGTAATGTCCCACAAGTAAGGAGGGCGCATGCCACACCATGCCACACCCCTTGTGTGTGTGTGTGTCACCCTCCGTTCCCAGGAGGTCTCCCGTCCAAACTACTCACCCACAGAGCTAGGGGGCAGAGAGGACTTGCAAGGCTCTGCCCAACGAAGCTCCTTGCAAGATCCTAGGAAGCGGAAGCTGGTCACTTCCGTGTACCTGCTCGTGACACTACCCCACTTTTCTCGCTGTCTTTTTTGGCTTCATGGTCTTTGCATGATAGACCCCTAAACTTTCCCTTCTCCCAGCGCTGTTGCAACTGCGCCGAGTGTTCAGATCGCTTGAGTGCATTTGCCAACACCTCCGCGGACTCAGCCACCTTTCGTTTCCCTCGCTCCTTTCTGCGTGGATTATGGAATTGGATGAACCTTTATATATCTAAGTGTGTGTGTGTGTTTTGGGGTGGCACGGTAGATCAAAACATGTTAGGAAACACGTTGACCCAAAAAACATTCTGCTTCGACCCACCACCACCTCACCAGAGGACGTTTGGTGCAGTGCAAGTTCGCTTGTGGCCTTGGCGTACAACACTGGCCAATTACACAGATCTTGCAATCACCTTCATCCTGCAGGTGGTCTTGCTTGGCATAGCGCCATTATTGGAGGTAGAAGAGGGAGTGTCCACGGAGAGTCTTTGCAGAATTACAGGAAGATTGTTTACAGAAGTTGAAGTAAGTGACGAACCATTTTGACCGGGCGCCCTCGGTTCTTTTCATTGTGTTTGCTCAAGACCATCCAAAAATTGCGTCGTTTGAGCGGTGTTCCTGCCATCAACCCAGGATACTGGGTTGGATTCTTACGTTCAGCGTGCTCAGCCCATTCGTGGCCGGCATCGCTGCCAGCACCTTCTGCGTTTTGTGCCTTGGAAAATGCAATGTTGCGTTCATTCAAGTCACTTTAAAGTCATCACCACCTTGCTGCAACCAGGTGCCACTTTCATCCTCCCCTCGACTACGGCATCTTTTTGTGCCACCACAAAGGTGGCGCCGGAAGTGACTCACGCAGCACTAGTTTCACACTTTGGGAATGGAGCTAGGGGACCCGACAAGACACGAGGGGAGACATAGATGACAGAGACCCACAGAGTTCAAAAAGGCACTGACTGTTTTTGACTGACATATCCCAGGCCTTTGTCGCCTCATCAAGCTCTTGATTTCGAATCACAGCAAGACAAGGGTCTTTCTGGATTCAGATGAGCTGGAGGAGCAGACGTTCTTTCAAGATTGAGCATGCTGAATCTCCTGAGTATCCATGAGCAGCCTTGCCTCGACTCTTTTTTCTTTGATGACGCTCGCGCGACGTTCGTCGAAGTGGCGCTCGTGAGGATTTGGATCTCATTTTCGACACTATCCGTCTGAAAACCAGGAGCGTGGTAGTGGTTTTGACGCCTGAGCTGCTGAAGCTTGGACAAAATCAGGAGGCTGCAATGCCATCACTATGTCGGTTCGCTTAGTCATGAAACATGAAAGTACATGTAGAAAGAGTCTGGCTCCTTACCATTCCTCACCCAACAATTCCAAAAGAGTTTGGTCCTGGTCACGACGAAAGGGAATTACAATGGATTATTACGTCTCTAGTTCTGCCCACATCTCTTCCGGGCTTCGATGTCCAACAGTGTGTTGGAATCGTGATGAATCAATTGAATTAATTGTCACCAAGACTGGCTCCAACAACTTCGATGTTGTTTATCACGCGGATATGTGAAATTTAGAAGACCTCGGGGTGAGCTCCCCAGCAACCGGGGTCAGGGAAGCTTCGAAGCAGATTTCTTATTTATCCATGCAGCAGTCCCCGACATAAATAGATGAATGGTTTGGAGGGAATCGCTCTTCTATCTATTTTTGATGTTAATGTAGGCTCTTGACGAATAAACCCTCCCTTTGAAGAGGACTTTCAATTCAAATGGGCGGGTGTATGGTCCTCAAGAGTCTACATTAGGATCTCTTGGGGCCACTGGGCCACTGGCTGTGGGGCCACAGTTCTTCAGGGCGAGCCGAGGACACGCATGTGGTGTGCCGGCGAAATCGTGACCGCCTTCAAGAACAAGGTCAGGGAGCCAAAACAGAATGGGCACCTGTCCTGTTTTAGAAGACCAGGGCGATTCGGTATGAAGAACGAAGCGATTCGGACCATCGACCTATGGGATAAGAGTTCTGTGGTTTCGGTCGGGAAGCATTTCTCAGTTGATCAGTTGAAGGATTTCGTCGTTGAGCCTTGGAACGTCGCCTTCGTTTTGCCAGGTGATCACCGTCCCATTGATTTGCGATGGGTACCTTCCACCTTCCACGGCTGACATTGAAGGAATACCAGAAGTATGGACAGTGCAACAGAAGCAAATTCTGTCCTTCTATGGTACTTTGGTGGCAAGCCAGCTCAATCCCTTGCTTTCCCATGAACTTGACTCGAAGTTCGGTTGCAGTTCTAACATGGTTTGAAGGATGATGGGTGAGAGCTGCACAAGCCCGTGCTGACAACAGGATACAAAGATCAAGCAAAGCATAATGCACACATGCCTGCATAGAGAGAGAGAGAGAGGGGGAGGGAGAGTACGAAATCTGTCCTCACCAAACACACCTCTCACCCATGGGCCACAAGAGACAAAATGAAAGCTGAGAGTTCCCGAGGTATCACTATGGAGGATGTGCAGCGCGCCTACGCTTGGTTGCATGATGAACTCGAGGCCCTCATTTTGTCTCGCTTCGCACCACCGCATCATCGCGAGAACACCGTGGTGGAGACTTGAAGAGCAGTGCTTTCTTTGTTTTGGCCCACCGTGCTCCGTGCCTTTCATGTTTTGTTCTTGATTCATACGGATGCTTAGAAGAAATGTAAAGGGTGAGGTGGCACCTACGGCGGCCACTTCAGGCTCAGAATGCAAGTCAAATCGCTGGGGATGGATCAAAGCTTGCTCCAAGTATCTCCAAAACATCCCAAAAGGCTCTCCCGCTTATCCAAGGAACTGCTTAGCATGGTGAGGGCGCCAATGCTGTACTTCCGTTCCATGGATGGTACGAAAGCTGCCAACCACAAAGTAAAGGCGCGTGTGCTTATCACAGGTCACCTGCATTTGTTCAATCATGCTCTTGGCATTTTCCCTTCAAATCTTTTATGTATTCGCCGCAGTTGCAATGTTTTGAAGCCCACTCGCATTCGCTGTTCATGCGCTTGAAGCGTTGGCATGCTGTAAGGAGCCGTCAGCGATGGAGAAGCGCTTGCAACCTTGGAGGTGTTTCAAATCATGTTGCAGAAACTTGGCGGCAGACCTTCTTTGCTGTGATACGTTGTCTTTGGACGGAGTGCAAGACCTGGAGCCATCAGGCACAAAGCCAAGAAGTTCTTTCGGCATCTTTCGGCTGTAAACAACAACTTTGGTGGAACAGCTGATGTATCGACAATGCGCTTTTTCCTTGTTGTACAGTGTCATTGTCGGATCGCAAGCTTCACTGCAGCATTCGGTACTGTAGCGTTTGCACCCAGCGCTTCAAGGAAACAGCTTCACAAAGAATGTGCAGTAGTGCAAACTCCAACGGCGTTGGTGGCCTACAAGCCATGGGCATATTACTTTGTCTCTTGAATTTGCTTCAAAAGGTGGCTCCTTTTGTTTCAACCCCCTGATATCCCCTGATCATAATCCACAGAGGATGCAAGACCGGCATTCTTCCTGCCGCTTTACTGTAGGTTGCTGTAATCCTGCAGGCCCTTGCCCCTTCATTTGCACATCAGAAGGGAGCGATGGGGAATTCCAAGCACTTTCGGTTGCTGCGCCATTCCAACGTGATTCTCTCAGGTCATCCTTCTTTCACGGGGTATGCTCCGCGATCCAGGCTTTGCAGAGACTCTCTTAAGCGCCTATGTCGAAGGAGAAGGCGTCAGCTCTCGTCCACTCGAGATGGTCACAGCCGCTGGACCCAGTCATGTCCGGGCGCGACGGTGAAGTGCGGAATCCGTGGTGTTCGTTTCATCCAACAGAACCCAGCAGCCTAGAATTTCAGGAAGTGATGCAGTTGTGTCTACTGAGCCTAATGATGTTGAAAGGATTTGGATGGTGTCAAATCGTTCAGATCACTTCATACCTCTCCATACAGCACATATGTTTGTTCAAGTCACGCGTGTATCTACTTTGTTGATTTTTGTTGACTCTTGTTTTTTTTTCTTTGGTCCGATTTTGTGGGTATGTCCTGGATGCGATGTCCAGGTAATTAGCCAAGAATTCATGTGTTCTGTTTCGAGCGATGCAAATGTTTCCACTCTTCTTTGTTGTTCGCCTCACTGGCTTCACTGAGGTCAATGCCGATACGCACTTTGAGTTTCCAAGCGCCGAGCTTCTTGGCCGCGGACGAGAGGACTGGACTCTTACAGAAGACTGCATTTTGGGAAACGGATGGAAACGGCACTGGCATGCTCTGGCTATCAGGTCCAAGAGGGATCATACTCAGGGATCTAGATCCCTGGAAGATGGTGTGCTGCGGGCCCCTCCAACGTTGGTTCCTTATGCCACCTGTTCCATGAATCTCTCCCGACTTCTTTCACTGTTGGACGTTGGCTCAGGTTCTACCGGGACTTGGAGGAACACAGCCTGCCCGGGGTGGAGCTGCACCTGGGGCCTCATCTGTCAAAGGCCTACCGAGCCATGCTGAATGTTTTAGCCTTGCCTTTATCGCCCATGGGCTCCGAGGGGCTCCTGACGAAGCTCGGTTTCACGGTTTCTCTCAGGTGGAGGTCAAGAATGGTCAAGAGACCCCGGAGTTGGTGAAACAAGTACAAACCTTGACAAAATGTCTAGCATGTTTTCATGCTGAAGACCTTAGAAAGGGATCGTGTGCATTGAGATGCATTCAGTTTGACAGATTCATGGGAGCCTCTCGGCCATCCTCAGCTCAGGAAGCAGGTCGCCGAGATCGCCCGGCGCTTCCGGCGCTACCAAAGTGCTGGTTTTGCCGAGAGTTTGGATGACGAGGATGATCGGGAAGCCGGCGGCGATGGAGTGAATCCTCACCAGCTACAGCTAGAGATGGGTAGTCTTCCAGACCAAGAAAGCTTTCTCAGCAGGGCTCAAGCCAGAAAGAGCCTGAAGAGAATCGGGAAATCAGTGGCCTACACCGAGACAGGCGCCTTGATCCAGCTAGACCTTGATGATTTGAGTGAAGCCTCGGACGACCACCCTTTGATCACAGAGTCTGCGACGGCAGAAGTTCAAGCGACGGCCCCTTGGCCCGAGGGCCCCGACGTCTCGGGGCCTTTGGCCGAAGGCGAGTTGATCCGAGAATCGATGTAAGCGACGAAGATCTCGCTCCAGTGAGCAGATGTGAGCAGCCCTGGTTGCAGGATGGCAGAGAATATCTCAATCTCACTGAAACGTCCTGCAATGGTTTGTGAAGGCACTCTTCGAGTGCGATGCGGGTCCAAAATCAAACCAGCCATGATTGATGTTGTTACGGGACCCCAAAAAAAGACACGACCAGGCCATGTTGGAGCCTTTTGGACGGTTTTGGGCCAACTCGACGAACAATTAATGATAGTTTGCATGAAATTGTATAGAAGCAGTGCGTTTGGATGTGCAAGTGGCCTTTTGGGGTCACTTAATCCTGGAAGCCCGGCCAGAGGCAGTCCCAACAATATCTATGGATGTAAGCTAGCCGACTATAGCCTATAGCAGCTTTTTCCAGAGCAATCGCTCGGAGACAAAGAATGGGCTCAGCATGTCTCAGCCCATTCTTGCCAGGCTGCTAGCGCAAGCCGAAACAAAGCCTTTGGATTCGGTACAGATTGGATACTGCTTTATTGAAATTGAGGTTGTGCACGGTCTGTCGAAGACAAAAGCCACATCCCATTGAAGATATTGAAGTGAATCAGCCGAGGCCTGCTGAGAGGTAGGTCATGTAGAATGTCTAGAGTCTAGAGCTTCGAGAGGTGGTGGAGAGTTGCACGCCCCCGTCCAGACTAAATGTTTGACGATGACAGCAGGACTCGCAAGAGAACTTCACGCCGTCAACTCTTAAAGAGTTGATGTTCTTGACACACTAAAATGTGTGGTAGAGTGAAGGCCTTCTTGTCACTTGGCAGTGGGAACCCAAAAAAAGAGAAGGCGAGCGAACCAAAGACCAAAGGATACCAAAAGAATCCAAAAGAGTTGCGTTATGATTGTTTGCTTGCATGTGTGAGCTTGTCGCTCAGGACTGGGTGCAGCCTGTGGATGGCAGCCTCGACCCTACCAAATGCAGGCATATTGGCCATGGGCACATCATGCGAGCTTCACACATAATATATATATATAATTATATATATATATTACTATATCATACTGTACTATATCCATATGTGTGTATATGTGTGCATATGAGCCTGATTTAAAGTTGTAAAAATGAAAAGTTTGGGCGGCTGGGCCGGTGAGCAACCCCTTGCACATACTGCCCCCCCGTGATTTGTAGAAAGCCGAAAGGCATCACTACCAATACTTCAGAACGTCCTATAGAATTCATCTAAATCATCCAAATCCAATCTAGAATCTCCTGGAATGGTTTTCTATGTAGCATCAAATGGCATCTGAGATGGCACGCGAATGGCATGATGGCATGGGGCCGACCACGTCCGTCCTCGTTTGCCGAGGCCGTGGCCTTTTCGGGTCGGGCGGCAAAGTCGCCTCACGGGCGCTGCGACTGGCAAGCAAAGCTGCGGAAGTCACACAGCGGCCTGGGCGGAACGTCACACCGACTTGTGAAGTGAGGCCGGCGAACGGCACATGGCAACGTGCGTCGACCCTGACATTTTTAGACTGGAACCCACCCGACAGGGGCTGAGATTGGATTGGCTGGGCAAGATGTGGTTATCAAGAAAAGAAGAACTCATGGCGAGGGATGTTCCATGTCAGAGCTTTTGTAAAGGCATATATCTCCAACTCAGCGTATGAGAGGCTTGCTGAAGCCCAACCTGCAAAGGTAGAACAACTGAAATGTCAGACACATGTCCAATCGCTACTGAAAACTGAGGCTGTCCTCCTATGTTTTCAGCAGTCCACCACAAGATGGCGAGGCCCTAGCTTTAGAACTTGGTGTGTGCATGCATGTGCCAAAGTCTGCCCAGAGTCAGATACCCGCTCCACCGGCTTTTCAGATTTTTCATCGGCACACATCATCGGCAGCCAGCACCCGCTTGCTCCCACAAGCCGGGTAGCCAAACAGAGGCGTTTGGAAAGTCCGGGCCGCAACGGCAGGCGATGAGTCAACTCATGCTGGGCCCTGCCTCCTTGGTAAACCATGGAGTACCAGAGATGGTGACCCGTCAGTGCCAGAAGCGACGAGTTCCAAAGAAGTTGGGAAGAAGACATAGTAGCGAACCTTGTTACTAGTAGTAAGGCACTTGTTACTAGTAGCGATGCACTGCACTTGTTACTAGTAGCTTCTTGTTACTATGTTCATTCCAATTGCCTTTGAGGAAACCATAAGGCCACGTGAAGGTTATCCATACTTAAGAAGCTGCTTTCGGCGGAAGGTGTAGGTGAGTAGTTTCGTGCTACTTATATATAACTTATAACTATATGGTCGTAGTGTCGGGTGTTAGGCCTTTGTGTCAAGACTTCAAGAAAGGGTGTTTGCCCAAGCCACCAAGCACGGGCACAGAGTCTCAGACCCGTGCTTGCATTGCTGACTGGTTGATGCATGAAGCACGGTTGAGGTGAATTGCGACCTCATCCCATCAGAAGGCCCCCTGGCCAGGATGAGAATGGACCTAGATCTTCCAACTATGCAAAATGTGTGCCGTTTCATTTATAAAAACATATGCAAACCAACCAAAAAGGATAACTGTTGCATAGTTGGAAGATCTAGGTATGAGAATGTGCTTTGAGTATATTTAATGTAACTAATTGAGTGCAGTTGGAATGTCTAATTGGACTTCCAAGGATGAGTGAAAGCCGCTAAGGCTTCGTCATCTTGCGGCCACGGGAGGGCTACATAGAAGGCCAGGATCTACCGGCCGCGTAAAGGTGATCGAAACTGGGTGCCGGTGCTTTGCACCGTTTGCTGCTAACCGCTATTTAGGATCTGAATCTACACGGTAACACACCGACTTGCTTGTAGCGGACCAGTTTCCGGGTGATGTTCTTTTCATGGCCAGAGGTGATCAATATGCCAGGTGAGGAGCTATTCATCTCCTATGGCACCAGCGAGTGGTTCACAGACCGTGGCTTGGTAAGCCAGAGTGCCAAGCCCGCACAGCTGCAGAATTCCACAGGCTCCGATTCCACGAAAGTGAATCGTGAAGTTGCAGCTTTCGTGACTTTCGTGAATGCAAGAGGGCATGGATTGAGAGAGGGCACTGGAGTGTGATGGGAGGCATGTGCCTGAGCAAGTTGAGGGCAGATACGAAGACGGCGGACTTGCTGGCGGCGTCTTCAATTGCCACAGAGGACAAGCTTGTGCTTGGTTGCTGAACTGTGCTGTGGGAAGATGTGGGGTGCAATATTAACATAGTTTAACATCCAACGTGATTGCTAAGTCCAGGCTGTGAAAGATGCTCACCCCACTTCGGCCAACAGGAGCGGATCATGACACCAGCGTTCTTGATCCCCAAAGACGTGGCAGACCCTGTGCTGCTGGACCATGCATTGCCCATCGAAGAGGCGCAGTTCGGAAGGGGAGGACTCGCTTCGACTGTGGAAGATTGTGAAGCTGCTCCCCTGCCAAAGAGGTGCTTGCAGCTGCAGAAATGCAGCTTTTTCTTTGTTAGGAACTCATCAAACATGGTGTTGGAAAGTAATTGCGACTGAAAAAACCTGAAAAGGAGTGAGTTCAAAAGAGTCAAGCCGTTGGCTTAGGTGTTGTTCCGTGCTGTTCTCGAGCCACTGTAGCAGCTCAATCGAGCTCGGGCCACTGAGGTGCTCCTTTTGCCGCTCTGGCCAGGGCGCATCAACGAAGCAGAGCCACCCAACGCCACTTGGTGCTTTGGGAAGTCAATTGGATGATCATCATGATTAGCAATGTTCGACAAGGAGGGATGAGAGCTGATGTTCTCATGAGAGTGTGCCACATGGCACACCAGAAGCAACTTTAGTCAATCAGGTCAGCAGTTGATGCAAATGATGAGGAATGTTGTGTCCTGTGATGTTCTCCGAAAAATCAAGGCCCTAGGAGCGGCAGCGAGTTCCTGCTGCAACAACCGGAGTTCAATCACATTTAGCTCTTGGACTTGGTCATGGGTCACGGGGTTCCATTCACATGCCAATGACTGGCAGCTTGTGTCCAGTGAGGAGGGTTTACGTGACAGCAACTCGCTGAGGGCTGAGGCCCACGCACAATAGCCTACAATAGCCTACAGATGTTGGTAAATCGATGGAGTCTCTGAAGTGATGGAGGGGGGCAGAACCTGTCCGTGGAGCTAGAAGCTAGCAGACTGAGGAGCAGGTAGATGCGGTTCCTAGAACTACTCTGCAATTCCCCCGTGCTCGTGCTGTGCTCGTGCCTGCTGGGTGTTGCTTCAATCCCTGCTTAGTTTCGTAGCCCACCAGGTGCAACACACTTGCGGCTCACGCTGAGGTAGAGCTTCAAGTGATGGTCGACGGTTTGCCAATTCGTGACATCAAGCGGAAGGCACCCCCGTGAGAGACGAAGGCAAGGGCCCCTGCCTGTTTGAAAAGACTGTTCTCAGCCTCCGATTTCTTGGTCAGAATCAGTAGCCACCAACTTGGTTGCAGCACATGGGACTTCAGCGCTACGGGTGAAAGGAAAAAGCTTCAAAGTATCACACTTCAGAATGCCCAGCTGTGACGGAATTTGCAGGAAGATGTGCTGTGGTTGTGTCATGTTGTGTCCCACCCAGAGAGAGAGAGAGAGAGAGAGTGAGGACAGAGAGAGTGAGGGCGATCCACACTCTGCCAATTAGGGGGCCCTCCTGGTTACCTAATTAGTTCCTGTGCAGTCTTAGCTTACATTGTGTTTGTTCAATCTTCGTCGCCAGGCACAAGAACTTTGCGATGCACCTGGGCTGCTTGGTATTTGACAACTGGACCTGTGGGCTGGAAGGTGGGGTGCTCAACTGTGTGTGTGGGACAGGGGGCTGCTGAGCTGCTGCCACCTGAGATGATGTGTTTATGAACCGCGCTAGCGGTGATAATATGTTGTTCTGGTGATGTTTTCCTCAAACCTGTCCAGTATCATTCACAAACGGGCCAATAATGCAGAGGGCACCAGGCCTGTTCACCCTGCCGTGAGCTCGAACCTACTGAGGATTCAGGTGGATGTGGTGATGACTGCTTTGAGAGACATCTTAGAGGGCGAAAAGATTCGTGCGCGGCCTTGTGGCGAAGGCCGCGAATGTTTGCAGCGGGTGGCTTTGTTGACAAAGCTGACGGAAACAATTCTGAAATATCATGGAAAAAGATCGGTAGAAAGAAAGACGCAGATGTTGCTCGATGCCTACTGAAGGTTGATGTTGACCCCCCGGGTGTTCGCAATCATATTCATATCTCTGAGCATGTGACCCTTATCAAGGGTTTTGTTGGGTACTCCCATACAATGTTCGATCGCGTAGTTTTCAACACCTCATATTATTCCCAATGGCCCAAAGTAGCGCAAGGCTGCCTTGCCCCACTCGGCTGGGCGCGGCAGATTTCAGAAGCCAGGCAAGAATTGTTGGGGTACACATTGTCAATGTCAATGTTTGCTTACACATGCGCAACCTAAGTTATTGGTCACACACACAGAGAACCATTGCACTTCAAGACATGTCGCTGCGTTTTTTTGTCTTTGTCATGCATTATGATTTGCTTTGATCGGAGGCACGCAGCAGCAGAGGCAGGCGATGTACAAGCACAGTTTCAGTTGGCACAGCGATACCGCCAAGGTCAGAAGCCAATGAAACGCGAGTTGTGTTTTTATGTTTTGTTTGTTTTGCCTCTACAGCGATCCGGAGAAGAAAACTGTCTTGAATGTGTTCTATGCCTTTTTGGAGGTGATTTACTTTCTATCTACGTAGTAGGTGCCACCACAATGTACTGGAATGCAGCTGTGGCACGAACACTAGGCATGCCAAACACTAGTGCGGTAGACAGCTCCCAGGCGCGGCAGTCTGCTCAATTCGAAAGAAACTTCGAAGTGCAGACCATCCCTTTGGAAGAAAGATTGTTTTTGTATTTGTTGGTTTCGGCGCAACGGCACTGCAGCTGCTGTGTCTTGCGCTTCTCAAGAGTGTCCGCATGTATTTGTTGGTTTCTTACTGTTTGTCTTGTGCTAGTGAGCCGGCTGACAAATGCTGCAGTAGATCCTACACGTTTTCCGTGAGCGATGATGATAGGCCCTGATCTGGTACACCAAAGCCGCCCAGCAGAACCATACAGCAGCAATGCTGCAGCTGGGTGCCATGCTACACGATGGTGACAGGCCACTTGTGGAGGATGTTTGCCCAAACAACAGTGTGGAACGTCTTTTGTGCAGCGGTTTCTCCCAGATTTGCCCTGTCCAAATGTAGACTAATGTAGACCGAGAGTTGGGCAGAGTGTGGAAGTTGGCATCTCATGTTCACAAACGAGCAGTTTCACGTCACGGTTCGACCCCTGCCAGCCTCGGGCGTCGCGATCCCTACGGCGCTTTTGAATGGTACCTGGCAGCTGCAAAGCAGGGCAGTGCCACTGGGCAGTTCCTGGTGGGCTTGGCCTACACCAACGGAGTGGCTTGATTTCAACACGTCGGACATCACGGGATGGCGTCCACACGCCAATGTCTAAGGCTTAGGCCAAGAGCGGCAGCCAGTACCAAAGACGTGATGGCAAGAAAGCACCTCTTTGAAGATGTAAGACAACTTATGACAACTTGATGCAAGCGTTCTTTTGTGCAGACCCTCAGTTTCTGGGCACCTCGGGGCGCCCTCCACTCAATCCACTCAGCTAGCACTTCTCGAGTGTGCCGCTCTTCTCAAGGATGGCGTGGAGAAGAACATCTCCGAAGCCAGCGTGTGGCTGAGCCGCTGGGCATCCGGGCTCAAGCGAAGGGTCCGTTCCCAGGCCCTTCGCTTGAGCATTTGGACGGAAACGGACGGTGCGGTCATGTTCGGACACTTGGTGGGATTGGCGTTCATCCTTGTCCACAAACAAGCACTAGTGCCTGAGGCTCTGAGGTGAGTGTGTGGTTGTGTTCACATTGGTTTGATCTGGACCCTTCGAGACGTTTGCTCCAGGCACCACTGAGTAGCTGAGTGCCTTGGCTGAGCCTCATCCAACATGTTTTACATTCATTTGAGGTCATGCAGCGGCGCAGGGTAGCTCAAACTTTGCCAAAGCGTCCAAGGCCATGCAGCTTGGCGACAATTGGTACGGAACCTCTAGGTCTTGTAGGTTGGAGGACATGTGCTTTTCCTTTACTCTGGTCCCTGCAATACACCTAGTTTAGCCCAGATGTTTCTTTTTAATTATCCTTGGACATAGTGGGTATCACAAGACCTGTTATATAAATACAACACGTCTAGTGGCGCACAGCTGCTGGTGCGAGAGCCCGGAGGTTTTCACTCGAGTCAGCCGACACCTGAAGGTTCTCCAACCTGCGCACTTGACCAAATACGAAGAGCAAAGGGTTCGCACCCGTCAAAGGAAGCACTCTCGGGTCAAGGCTCCTTAGAATTTCTGCTGCCATCCAGGTACAATTTGGCCATCGCATATCGTGAAGGCCTTGGCATTGCCCCTGATCTCCAGCACCCATGCAGCAGTTTTTGCAGCCTTGGGACCTCCATCGGAAGATTAGGCAAGTTGGTAAAGGCCTTGGTTGTGTTCTTCCTTGCTGATTGGTTGTGGCATTCCGCGGGGGAGCCCTTTGCAGATCAAGTCAGTTTGGTACTATCGTGTTTCTTGGCTTCCCTTGAGCCCAGGCAGGCTTTCTACTGGTGCCGGAAAGCCGCGGAAGAAGGGAACCATGACAAGGTGCATGGGGAAGATAAGATGAAAGCTGTTTGTCTCCCTTGACTCAGCATCCTTGGCACCAAGAACTAGATTCCTGCTGATTTTGGGCATGGACCTTCGTGTGACTTTGTTCATTCGTGTTCTACACACTTTTTTTCTTCAGGCAAGTCTAGTCATTCCGTCAGCAAAGGATTATGCTTGAACAGCTGGCAGGGCCCAATAAGATTACGCCATTGCAAAGCGGTTAGTGATGTTGCGGCTCGGGCCAGTCGAGCTTTGCGGGTTATATATATATATATATTTGTATTGTATTATTATACTATATATTCAAAATACTATATATATATATATACACATGGTGGGCAAACTCCTTGTAGGAGCTTCATTGCCCATCCAGGCCATGTTCAATTTGGCTGTGGCCTACAGCCGTGGCGATGGCACTGCAGTCGACTCCAAAGAAGCTGTCCGGTGGTATCGGCGTGCTGCTGAGATGGGACATGTTATGGTGGCTCGATACCAAATCTATAGGTCCATAGCGTCAAGAACGATTGAGGAGTGGTCGGGATCCGACTTTGATTTTTTAGCAAATTTGGAGGTATCACGATGTTGGTTGATATGGAAATTGGGGGTAGATATTCGGCCCTGTCCGAAAATTCGATTTTGGGTCTCAGATGCCTCGTTTGTGGACACTCTTCTTGCATGGCGACCAATTGTCCTTCCATCGCATCAGTCCAGATTGTTTGCATTCACGGTGGCTTCAGGCATGTACTGTGGGACGCGGGCGCGGCAATCACCTCACCAGATTTGAGACTTCAAGTTTTTTGTGGAAACCGTTTATATCTTGCTCCAAGCCGAAAAGACTTTTTTGAACAGTATCCCAAACACAGGGGTCAAGATCATTCTTTCAATTCTTTCTTGACTCCTATCTCACGTAAAAGTATGAACATGCAAACACACCGTTGCGGCATTATGAGATGTGTGTTGATGTGTGTCGCATGTATTCTCAGTGTCCCGGTAGTTCTATTTTTTGACTGTGCTTTTGTTTCAGTGGCCTGCCCAGGCTCAGTACAACTTGGGCTACGCTTATTTGGTGACTTGGCAAGTGTCAAGGAGGCACCCTAACTAAAGCAACTGGTTGGACATCATGTTGATGAATTGCCGCAAACATGTATATACAGGTCTTGAGGGCTCCTCGCATTGCTCCAGAATCAGCGCTTCCTTTGGATGAGTTGTTCTTTCGATGACCTGCCATTCAAAATCACCAGATGCTCCCACCAAGGTAGGAGAGGGAGTTGCAAGGAGCGATGAACTTGCAGCGAAGTGGTTTCAAGATGTTGCGGAGAGCGGGAGAAGCAATGGCCGCTGGCCACCAAATTAAGCCAATTCGATAGGAGGGCAAGCCTTGACGCACACGTTCTGTTGCTGAGAGTGCGCGACCTGTTCGTACTTGTTTAGGTCAGAGCTTCGCATATCAGAAACAAGGACACAGCCAAGTTGAACCACAAAATTATCAACACCTCAAATTACTGCTTGAAATCCAATCTCGAATCACTGGAGAGACACGTCCCTTCCAGGTCAGTTCATGATGGGCGGCCCAGCTGCAAGAGTACCACTCATGTTCGTAGCATTTGATCGTCCTCTTTCACGGACCTCACGGATCCATCGATGGTCCGAAGCCCGATGCACTGGCGAGGTTTGCTTTACAGCCAGGGCCGCGGCGTCAAGCCTGATGGCGAGTTGGCCGTGAAATGGTATCGACGAGCAGCCAGCCAAGATCATGGTGACTGGGACAAATCGCCCGTGTAAACGTTGCTTCAGCAAAACGAACAGTCTTGAAGATCGAGTAAACAATTGAAAGGGGGCATTTCCCCCAAGTTGTTCTTCGTTTCAGCAGCCAAGTTTCGACTTGCTTGCGGTTGCCCTCAGGCCAGGCGCAATACAACTTGGCAGTCGCACTGGAATCAGGCTTGCCCGAAACATATAGCTGCAGTGGTTTCCTTTGTGTTTAGGGCGGGTATTTCCTTGGACCTTTGTCGATAAAACATTCCAATTTGTCCATTCACTTCGTTGTACATGTCTTCAACGACGGCTTCGTCCCACTGCGTTTGTACGCTTCTTTGATCCTTGTCGGTGTATCCAGGTGCCGGGTGTTTAATAGGAAGCTTAAACAAGTTCATACTGAGGTGACGGAGTGCCACAGAACCAGTCAGAAGCAGACTACTGGTATGAGCAGGCAGGGGCAGTGGCAGATGCTTGTAGTTGTGCCAGGTTTAGCAGCAGTGGACAGGTTCTTCATGAGATTTAACGTAGAGCTGCTGGTGGATTGCAATTCGATGGTGAAATGGCTTCCCTGTGTCCACCAGCACTGCGTGAATGGCAGATTGCCTTGGAGATGTATTTAGATATGGTGTGATATCGTCCTGAATCTCGTCTTGTGGGGTTGTATCCTTGAAACATGTCAACAATGCAGCTCTATGTGGCATTATATGGCTATATAGGCTATATATTGTATGATATGCTATCTATTGTATGATATGCTATATGAGGCATTGTTGGATTTGATCGCACAGTGGTGAGTCTTTCTGGAGCTTGCCTCTTCATGTTCTCACCTCTCCAGGCAGCGTTGCACGGTGTGCTTCGACAGGGTTGGTGGGACTATTTGCGTGACTTGCCTCGCATCGGCACCCCACCACGCTCAAGAAGAACAAGAGATGATATGGGGCGCGCATTAAACTTCATATTCAATCACCGGGACAGAAAAGGCTCAGTGCTGCCTCTTTTCGCTTGAATCACTTGTCTAGGAAACTGCGTTTGTCATGCTTGATCAAACACCGATGCAATCCAAAAGGCTATGTCCATCTATTTCCCACATCATGCTCACGCCGCACCAGTGCCAAGGCCGCCTGTTTGGAACAAAAGCGCGCAAGGAGTTGTGACAAAAGGAGCAGCATTGATCCGTCCATGACTGCAGGACGCGTCCGTCCTCACAAGCCCTGGAAAAGGAACAGCCTGTCCTGTCCCTTCTGTTTTCTCTTGTTTGGAGAATGAGGTTCCAAGTCACCACTTGGCAGGAAAGTAGTACGGCCAGGACGCTACGAACGGGGCTCTTGGCATCGCTAGTATCAAGAAGCAACGAACGGGGCTACTTGGGGTTCCTGACTCTTGACGATCTACAAAGTGTCGACCAGTCCCAGGCGGGTTCGACATGGTCAAAGCACTAAGGCCTTGGGAACGATCACAGCTTAGCCGGGAAGCCCAGCTGACAACTGGTTGGGCTTGTGCAGGGCAGAACTCCAGACCCCATGGATGGCGATGGAGAGAGAGATGTTTGGTAAAGCAGCATTGAATTAGGAGCAAATCGGACTAGCTTCCCAATCAGAAAAACAATAATCTCAGTCCTAGGACCCGGGGTGAAAAAATGTTATACAAAAAGTTCTTGCATCAGCTTTGCATCCCATCCCATCCCATCCCATGCAAAGCTGATAGGGGTTTGCATTTACCCCCAACCACTTGGTTTTTGGTCTAGTTCCCTTCTTCCAGGGGGTCTTTGCAAGGTCTCCCTGTTTGAATACACACCCAAGATCGTCTCTCATAATTCAGAGATCCCATCCCATGTTAGTCATGGACCTCACTGGACCTCCAGAGTTCGATGCTGAGGGCGGCATCTTCCCGGACTGGTACGCAGGCCACCCAGAGAGGCCAGGAGCACTCGCTGTTGCACCCGCTATTGCAGTGATTGATCATTCAGTCCGACTTGGTCCCTTAGTAGTGCCTGGCAATACTTGGCAACCACATAGCAAACATTCGAAACACACCGACCGACAAATCTAAGCCACGACAGGTTAGATGATTGTGTTGGGCCTTGCGATTCTGTCTTTCTTTCAATGCCCGTTTCTGCCACACAAAGCCACAACAATCGACATGCGTGTCGATCGTTTTGGCTGAGCGCAGGTTTTTCAACAAAGAGAGACAGAGCTTGACGTCGAATGATGTTCTCGCTCGCTCATGAACTAGCTAACATCCCTTCTTCCGCCTGTCCTGCTGAGATGGCATGCAGCCTCATCCAAGCACCTACAAGTGCTTTGCACTGAAACGGGCGAATTCGAGGCGGATTTGCGTCTCGCAAAGCGGGTTGACCTGCGGTGGTCCTTCAGAGTCCGTCGCGGATCGAGTCAAGCGCAGCGACTGGCACTTCGCCGGCTTGGGATCCAACCATCAACCAACTGGTTTTGGACAACTAGTAACAAGAAGCTAGTAGGAACAAGTGCCACGCTAGTAGTAACAGGTGCCTTACTGGTAGTAACAAGAAGCTAGTAGTAGCAAGGCACCTTACTATTGGAGCAAAATCAGGACATGGTTCGAAAACATGTGTTCGCATCGCTCAAATTGTGGCTGCTGGAATTGAGCTCCTTCAGGTGCCTCGCCGAATCTCGGTGAACCTGGCCGCCTTCCGGAATGCACAGAATGTGGCTGGGGCGCCGATCGAGACGTACATGGCAGATGCACTACAGGAATGCAGGTGAAACGGCCATATGCCATCATTTGCCATGCCATGCACTTGTTACATGTTTTTGGCGATGCATTAGACCTTCTTCAAGAGTCTTCACTGCCAAGGTGATTTTCTTGGGAGATAAGGCGGGTCACCAGTCACCAATGAGCAGTAGCATCAAAAGTGACTCGCAATCGAGCGAAGTCAGTCAAAAACCGGCCATATACAAGTGGCCTCCAAGAGTGTGTATGTTTAGCCAAGTTCTCCTGGGCTGTTGCTTGTTTTCCTTTCTCACTTTTCTTGGAGAAAGCCTCGTTGGGGTTCGTCAGCATCTCCCCAATCACACCAAGCGGAGTTGTCAAGAATGTCACGACTGCAAAGCAGAAACGCACAATAGGTCATCCGCCGTTGGTTCAGAACAGCCATTGCTAGCTGGCACAGAGAAGCAGAGAAAGAGTGCCCCATGTCGTACCACTTCTTCACAAGAATCACGTATTGCGCAACATTCACCAACTGATGCCTTTGCATGCCAAGATGCGTGACCTTCTAGTATCTGCAAGTCACTTGCACCCAGTTCATAGCTGCAGGTACCAGTAGGTTGACCACAATGTCTCAACTTGATATGAGTTTTACAAGTGTTTGTTCCCTAACCTTGTCCTGCATTTGCAACTGCAACCGACCAGGAGACCTGGAATGCGCAGGGAAGCCACAGAGTTGACTCCAGACAAGAAATATCAAAGAACATCAGATATCATATCGTGCCAACCAGCGCCCCTCACCGCAAAAATGAAGAGTCAAGTCTTAATTAGCAAAACAGACATGTGCACTGTGGGTGCTGGGTGTTGTTCCGAGTTGTCCAAGGCCTGAGAGCCCCAAGTCTTCTCACGAGGAATGCAACGAACAGAGGAGCGGCATTCAGGGGACCGTGACGAGCCGATTCCGCCAGCAGAGCCAAAAGTCAAGGAGAAGGCCCACACACAGTATGTAATTGGTATGCTGTGCATGGAGACCACACACACAGGTGGGATGACGATTGCGCAAGTTACCGCAAGTTACTCCAATAGAAAATCAACCCACATAAATGTCATGCGCATTCATGCGCGCATGGCTTCAGAAGCCCGTGACTCTCATCACAAGGCGCTTGGTCATGACTCTCCCCCCGCCAGGTCAAGCATGCCAGTCTCAGACTTTGGGTCTCCTGCCTCAGTGGGGTTCAGATAGCGCCGCTACGAAGGCGGCCGTTCTGCCCATGTTTTGTGGATGTTTGGGATGTTTCGGGGCATGGTGGCATGACATCACTACCCCCTTGCGGTGCCTGACCCCTCCCCGGGGGTAAGGGAGTAGTGATGGCATGACAATTGTTTGCGGCTTTTGTTCTGCGTATGCAAAACACTGCGACGGAGACGAAGCATTGAAATTGTCAACAGCAACTCAGGCGTTCCAGAGCCAAATTGCGCTTTAGGCCGGAGACGAGCGAGATGCACGAATCGGTTGCTGGCGAGATCAACACCAAACTGTCACGTCACTTGCAATCCAATCTTTATATAGATTTGTATACATGTGTTATTCAGTCATGCATCCACATATATAATTAATATATATAATATCCTGTTGTAATATCCCACATTCCTATCCAGTCAGTTCAGGCCCAAGGCGTATCCAGGACTACTGACTAAAGGTCGTAGTGCGCCTAATGAGAGGGGAGTTCCAGGTGTTGTAAGACAGAAAACATGCACTTTGTGTGTGTGAGAGCCGCACACGAGCAGCGAACAGTAGAAGAACACAGACAAATGATCTCCAAGACGACAGAAGATCAATTCCATGACTTTGCCTTCCATGTTGGCACAGTCAATGTTTGTTTCGAAAGAGTGGGGCATTCCCTGCTACAACGAAGCAGCCAGTTGTAGGTGTTTGGTCTAGTCTAGTCTATTTCCTTGCTAAATTGGCTATGCAAGCTCAGACGCAGATCGGACCACAGGCAGCTGGTGCCCAATCCTTTGATTCGTAACCCCCCTACCTCCCAGCCACGCCACGAGCTCGATGCCAGCCGATCCTTGAGCCAGAAGAATCTTGAGGGCAAGGCCGCAAACGTGTTTGATTTTGAAGGTGAAACGATGAAACTCAAATTACCATGTTTGTCGCACATGGCGACATTGTCACTTGTAGTGGGTGGACATCAAAGACTGGCACCGCCGCTGCAAGCCTACTTTGTTTCCTAGTGACATTCCTCACGTTCCACGC